ATTTTCACAGATCATTCGCTTTTCGGCTTCGCGGACGCGTCTGCGATTTTAACGAACAAATTTTTGGAGATATCATTAGCCGATTGCAACCACTGCATATGCGTGTCTCACACAGGGAAAGAGAATACGGTTCTAAGAGCAAAGGTTCAAAAGGAGAAAGTATCCGTCATTCCGAACGCAGTTGACACTACGTTGTTCATGCCAGATACCAGTAAACGAGACAATGATTTTAGTAAGTTTCACGTTTCCTCGTAAAATCCAGACAGACATACGTAATTGAACTAACAATGCTTGTTATTGTCAATTATAGTCACGATAGTCATAGTGTCGCGACTAGTATATCGCAAAGGTGTCGATTTATTAGCTCGTATCATACCCGATATTTGTAGTCGGTACGAGGACGTGCAATTTCTAATCGCCGGGGACGGCCCTAAGAGGTGGCTGATAGAGGAAGTGCGGGAGAGAAATCTGTTGCAGCACAGAGTCACGTTGCTCGGTAGCTTGGATCATTCACAGATCGGGTCGGTCTTGAACAAAGGCCACATATTCCTGAATACAAGCTTGACCGAAGCGTATTGCATGGCGATCGTCGAGGCGGCGTCCTGCGGGTAAAATTTAATTTACATGATTTCATTAATGACACAGTCTAACGAAAAAAGACTTTCTCTTCCAATTTTCGTTGCTCTTCTTCTTCACGTTTCTTTCCTTCTTCTTTCTGTTTAGGCTTTTCTTCCCTTTTCCTAGTTTCTTTATTTTTGCGTTTTATTTCTTCCATTTGCTTAGCTTGTTCCTTCTTTTGCCTTTTTACGTTTACCTCCTCGATTTGCTGTTCCAACTCCTCTCGTTTTTGTCCTGTCCTGCAATCTAAGATTCTGATCTTTCTATAACGATTACACAGTCCAACAAAGAATCTTTCTTCATTTTTTGCAATATCTACTACGTGATTCTCATAGAATTTCTAATGCCAATGAACCATTCATATTTTGTGTATTTTAAATATGTTTTATAAGAAACAGAGATCCATGGCTGTTAAAATCTGAGAAAGACTAATAAAGACAGAACTACTAACATGCATTTCACATCTAATATTTTGTCCTTGAACGTTGAATCAATTTTTGATACATTCTACATAGAGTGTCAAGAAATTATATGTCAGGATTACCATAAGATGATTCTATATCCTCGATTTAGTAAAAATTGAACCAACGTGCCGCAAAATTGAATCTGACCTTGAATTTCAAGGTCGAAAGGTCAACAATTTTAAGTTGCATCGTACTTTACAAATCCACATAACGTGAACGAAACAGATGTCGATCAGTTACTGATGAGCGAATAGAAAGTGACGCAATTTAAAAAGAAGTGTTGACCTTTTGACCTTGAAATTCATGGTCAAAGTCAATTTTTCGGCACCTTCCTTGGTTCGATTTTTACCAAATCGAGAGTGTAGAATCATCCTATATAATTTCTTAACGCTCTGTACAAATGCAGTTCTCGGTTTCGTTCCTGGCATGAGAAACTCTGCAAAAATCACATAATGAATATTACAAAATGAAGTTTGTGTAATTATGCATTCATAAGGAATTCAAATACGCTGTAACATTTTATTTTACATAAAAGTCTGTAATACTAATAATAATTAATTATAATTAACATAGCTCGTTTTCGTTCGTTGCAGTTTACAAGTTGTTTCGACGAAGGTCGGCGGAATACCTGAAGTGTTGCCTTCGGATTTGATTTACTTGGTAGAACCCACGGTGCCTGGTCTTATCGAGGGACTAGAGTCTGCCATATCTGATTACAAAGAAGGCAACACGAGATGTCCATTAGAAACGCATAAAAGAATAAGTTTGTATTATAATTGGTTCAATATTACAAGGAGAACCGAGGTTGTTTATAATCTAGTGAAAAAAGAGGACGAGAAGAAGTTAGGCCAACAATTGGCTAGTTACGTCCGCAGCGGTGTGTTAGCGTATTTGCTTGTTGTGTCGTTGTGTTATATCATTTTACAAGGTTTAGAAGTTCTTGTGCCGAGAAAGGTAAGTTGAACTTATAATTAGTAAGGTGTTCGTTATCGTTCATTATTATTATTATTATTAATAGAAGATACGTTTTAGTATATTGACGTTGCGAAAGATTACACCGAAATTAACGTGATTCATCCTCAGGGAGAAGGGAAAGAAGAGTAATTAGATGTACATACGAATACATTCCTGTTGGTACGATGATCGTTAAATAAATCTTCCCAGACGATCGTACAAATTTGCAAGTATACCGTATACATATACTGCCTAGCATTTCTCTTTTATTATGAAACATTTGCCCCGTTTTAATACAAGTTTTCCGAGATATTGAAGAGTTTTTTATATCCTAAGTTATGAACAGCGTTGCTATATCAAAGGATTTTGTCCGATTTTAGGGAAAATAACACGGAGCCTACCGTTTGAAGGGTAGAGCGTGAGAGACATTGAGGCACAACAGAGAAATAGTAGTTAAATCGAAGAAACGTTGTGTTATAAGTTGTGTTGTGTTATAATTGTGTTGTGTTATAATTGTGTTGTAGAAACGACGGAAGAGATGAAATCCCTTGCGACTTTTCATGGCAACGCTGGTTATGTGAGATAGTTTTTAAATAGAACTTGCATGGTTCAAATAGGTGGATTTTTTAATGAAAACGAATTCTTTTTAATGTTATTATTTAATGAGATACGATGGTCAAGTTTGATTTTTCAAATGGGACTATGTATTTCTTTTTGTATTACTTGATAGCAATTTTCAAGATGATTTCGTTTATCTTTCATGTGTAAAGTCGATTTTAATTAGAGTTTGAGATGTTGAATTCAAAGACTAACTAATTTTTACGAAGTGAGAAATGGAAGCACAGAAGGGAATCTTGTTGCGATTAAGCTGCTTGAGATACGTACGATCTAGCTATCACAAAGGATAATACTTTCTGAAATTTGACTGAACTCCATGCAACACTTCTCCTTGTTCGCTTAGTTAGATATTTATTGCGCTTCCAAAGGTAAAACATGTTTGTATACGGGAATCTGGTCGATTTGTCTTATTTCAAAAATTAGGTTTTGAGATATTCCATTCCAAAATTTGCTAACTTCTTTCAAGGATTTTAAAACTCTTTTCAATGAAGAAAATGCATTTAATGTTTCTAATATCTGAAATTACTTCTGTTATATGTATTATTGCATTTAATTGAGAATTATGTTGAGTGACGAACTAGCATCCTCAGATTGCGGATTTTTATGAATAAAATTAAAAAAACGAATTGTCTATAAACATTTGTCTTCTCTATAAATTTTACTTTGTATGTTTCGTATTTATTTATATATTACTACATACCGTGTCTATGTAAATTATTAAAAATTCCCATAAATGCATAAACATCCGCAGTCTACTTAACGCTATTAACATAATTAACTCACCCAATTCTATCTTATGTAAAATATTCATTCATCTTGACCTCTGTCCTACCCATCCCTAGCATCCCTATTCCTAACTGTTTTGTCCATTGTACCTTATTATTGTCCTTTGGGACATAATTTTCATTTAATATAAATTATGGATGGAGAAATTGTTAAAAATTTCTCACGTTGTTGAAAATTCTTTATATAATGCGGAAAAATATTGTCTTCTATGCCAGGCGATCCTATTTCAAGCCATATCCATTTTAAAAGACTTACAAGAATCCAGTGCTGTCCTCTCCATTTGTACTCTTGAAGAATTAACAAATTTTGCAGTTTAATATCTCGAAACCTAATTAATCAGGACTGTAGATTTCTTTAATTACTGCTTAATAATTAACAACCAAATTTCTC